CTGTACATCAAACTTGAGAACCTGTATTTCAGATTGTTGCAGCTGAGCCTGTAAAAGAGCTGCCTTGGAAGCCAAGGTGCAGCAGTGTCACACTTCAGAGCTGTCAAGAATTTTATACGGGTTGAAAGATGAAACAACAGGAGAGTTTATGCAACATTGGCTCTAAGACCAGCACGGAAGAAAGTAGCCTTCTTGGTTACTCATCCTACGTCTGACATACAAAGTAGATGGCACCTGGCAAATCAAAAAGCCATGCGTGACAATTTTTCCCCCTTTTCAACCAGTGATTTCATCAACACAAAAGAATATGTTCATGGATCCCTTCCAAGGCCTGAAGTCCTAACATTAAAAACCATTTTAATATGTTTTAATATGGAGAAGACAACATTTGTATAGAGATGAGCAATGAGAATTAACCCAACCATGGGCAGATCTAGGATTTTGAAAGTGGGGGGGGTGCTGTTAGTGTGGTGCATCATCACACGTAACACAATATATACTTTTCTCCCGTTAAAAGAAATGAGAAGTTTAATTAATGAGATTGAAACAAAAACAAATATAACTTTATTGAAAGGTGCATTAATTTGCTATATCATCTCATAAGAAAACAAACGAGGCAAAAAATAATCAAAAGATGTTTCATTAGCTCTGCAATCATTAGCAATAAATATACATCTCTTTTTCAGATTCACAAATCAAAACCTAGCCTTCTTAAGCATATTGGCAGTGGATGCAATGCTCCACTGAAAGTTATTTCCACACCTGAGTTAATGTTCACTTGAGTTAACACTTCTAGCTAGAGTTAAAAAAAGTCTACAGGACTGTGAAATAGGAGGTCCACTACCAGGACCCAGTAGCAGACAGCAGAATGGCATAAAGAAAAATAGCTTAATTAGTGGAACATCAAGATCATTAAAAATGAGTGAGGATCATTAACGACTGTGAAATGAAGAGTTTAGAAGGAATTAGGCAGATTACAATGAGCCATGAAGTCAATTGATTTCCTCACTGCTGCCTAAACAGAAATGCTGCTGCCACGGCTAGGCAGTTGTTTTTAAATTTTGGGTGGAGCAGAAATCAAAGTGGGGTGCAACTGCACCACTGCACTCCCACCCTGGGCTCTGCCACTGGACTGAACTGCTCTCCTCTGCCTCTTATGCCCTCTTCAGTTTTCAGTATCTGTGCCTTAGCGTATCAGTGCTCAGGAGATTCTTTCCTTTTTCATATTTTCTGTTGGTTATTTCATTATCTAACGTGTCAAACAAATGTCCTTTTAAAAAAAAACCTGTAAGAGTTAATAACTAATCTCCTGCTTCTTCCAGCATAGGGTTCTGTAAGACAGAAAGAGATATAGGAAACACAAGTATGATCTACCTTGTTTCCTTTTTCTGCATTTTAGAAAGGTGGTTCTTGAGCATATAGATAAGTCTGGGAAAATATAAAAGGTAAAACAAAGAGTTGCTCTTTACCTTTGTGTAACACTCATGCTGCCTTTGGGACCTTAATCCTACTTTGGTAAAGTACCATCCCCACCAACAAAAGTAGGCTCAGCAGAGCCTGAAGTTATTTGCACAAAAACAAAGTTGTTCATTTCAGCGACCGTTTCAAGGAAACTGTGCATGTAAAGACAATGGAAGGTAGAAAGAATCTGGTTGTTTTCCCGGGTATTTCTCAAGGAGAATATCTGCTTAGTGATCAGGTGAGATCTCCAGAGCTAGAGGGATTCAGCACAAGAAAATCAAAGGCTGTATAACTGAACAATCCTAGGCACGCCTTATACATCAGGCGAAGAAAGTCTTTCAGGGAGCTGATGAGCCAACATAGCAATACAATGAATATTGCATATGGTGACTCTCAGGGAAATGACATCTCTGTGACAAGTCCCATTAGACATACAGTGCTGCCTTCTAACAATTATGGGCCACATTCTGATATTCATACTTGAGTTGAGGAGCACACTACTCCAAGAGTGAATAATGAATTCAAACAGGACTCTTTAGGGAGCAAAGAGCTACTCAAGGAATATAAAGTGATGAGAATCTAGCCCTATGCCAGTGACTTATGGCATGCATTACCAGGGGATAGATCTGCATTCGGTCAGACACCTCAGCCATTGACAGCTGCAAAAACTCTTTGTGTTTGACCCAGCTGCAAGACAATGGAGGAGATTTTTGCTCTAATTTCACAAGCTGCATGACAGCTTGTAAAAATTTTACAATACAAGTACAACACCTAAAGCAATAAAGCCTGCCAGAAATGTTTAAAATCAAGGCCTTTGGGATTGTGTCATTTATAAATTTACCATACTCATAGCCAAGATTTTTCCTCAGAAATGCAGCACTGACCCACAGGAGCTAGTCCTCAGTGTAGTCTGCTGATGTCCCCCCTTTTCAGATGAGGGAGAGCCCACAGATGTACACGAAGCTGTTCAATAGGGGAGGCAGAGCAAAAGAGAACTACATTTTGTGAAAAGAAAATCCAAACATTTTTTCATAACCAGGCACAAAGAAGAAAGAGGCCGTGGGAGCAGGGGCTCTCTCACATTTAATGTAATGGGGGGTGGGGGGCGACAACTTCTGCTGTTTGTATTTAGAAGGCACAGGCTAGAAAAAGACTGTTTCTCCTCTTGCTTTCTTTTGTCATCTGGAAAGGTTGGGCAGGGTACAGAGTTAGAACAGGATAAGAGGACAGCAAAATACTTTGGCAGGTATTCAGTCAAAGAAGAATCCTGCTTCTCCTAAGCACTCTATAAACTCTTTTCCTTTCATTTCTCAGCCAATATTACAAGCCAGGTGACTGGCAGCAACTTTTTAAAAGCAAAAACAAAACGCCAAAGCATGATCCAAGCATTAGAAATAAGTCCTTTGTATTTTTTTTTTTTTTTTAATGTGGATCCACTTAAGCCAGTACCTTCGAATAACTTCTTTGGATTTACTCTCTGCCATGTGAGAAGGTGAAGATCCACGTCCGTTCCAGCTACCCACCGTGCAAACCTCATTTGGACACGATCATCATCAATCATTCCCGCTGTGCACGAAGCATGTCAAAGGGAAACAAAGTAGAGACTGTGCTGCAGCACTTGACACCACCCATCCCCTGTGCCTGCACTGTTATGATGCATATTTTCTTTCATTTTAACCAGCCCTTTCCCCCCAAAATGCTTGGGAAAAGCTTTGATGGTTTCAGTGGAAGAAAATCTCCCTCTCCAACCCTCACCCCCACTACTGAAAAACTATTACAGCTTTGCCACTGTGAAACACTCTGAGGAAATAGCCTGGCATCTTCCCATTGTAAATGCATGCACATTGCACGCAGCAATACATTTTTAAACATATGCATAAGCTTCGGTTCAGGCTGAATGGAATAAAAGGAAGCAGCACAGGGAGAACAGCCTTTGTGGCACCACCAAACATAGTTTTTAAAAGGGCTATTCATGCCAGAACTCCATCGGATTTCTCTGGCACACCGTTCAGATTGCTGACTGCTCCATAATCTTGGTCAGAGGCGGCTGATTGTCCAAGAGGAAGCAAAAGGCTTAAAAGAGCAAGAACCAGCATCCCTTTCTTTTTCAGGAAGCTTTGGAATAAGCTGGGATAAACATCAGGCGACCTATGGGACCCCAGCAGCATGCGAAAATCAGAGCTGGAAGACAAGCTGCAGTCCCATCGAGACACTTTCTATCAGCTTATCTGGAGCTTTAAAAGGCCCCCCTCTCTGTTTTTTTATAGCCCTTCTTTGAACCAGGACACTCAGTGGATGCATATTAGTTTATTACATCCTGACCCCTCAGCATTGGGGTATTACTCATACCAGTGGAACTTACCTACATGTGGTGCTTTTTGATGCACAAGACACTGCAGCATGCATGGCTTTAGCAGCTGTACTCTAGTGCTTAATACAGGGGGAAAAAATCCTCTTTCAGTTTAGTGCACACATCCTTTTCTTTCACCTCTGGCAAGGCATGATAGCATAGAGAATCTGTAGTAAGCAAGCAAGGAGTTTCAGCTACAATACACTCCCCCCTACCCCATGTCCTTTCTTGTGCCAATATAGAGCTGCCACGACACTCCTTTCTGCCTTAGCACATCAATGGTCCACACTGGGGGCAACACAAATGAAGTAACTGAAGACAGGCCCCCATTAAAAGAACCTCCCACACTGGGGACTGCAGTGGGCTACCTTCAACAAGAACTCCCTTTCTCTTCCATTTTATCAATCAAGTTACTTCATTTTAACATGGATCACAGCATTCAGGACCCTCACTACAGAGAAATACCCACCTGCCAGCTTTTGCCAGCTGCTTAATCTATTAAAATGACATAGAGATGCATGCAGATACGTCCTGTCATGTGTGCCCTGGTGGCCCATGAGTATCTCCTATTCAGGTGAATTCAGGCCATGAAATAACCACCTCAAATAATTCAAACTAGGTGAGACAGGCATTGCATTTTAGTTTAGATATACAACTCTGAGAGGAAATACTCACACAGGGAGCCAGCAATGATGGGGAAGAAAAATTATCTGCAGATTCCTCATAACCAACTGAATAGTGTAAGATACTAAGCACATTGTCCTAAGTCTAGCAGAGCACTTCAGCACTTGCTTATTTTTAAGCACACAAATAGTCCTACTGATTCCAATGAGACCATTCAAATACTCAAAGTTAGGTGCAGATTGAACTCATGAAGAATCAAGGCCATGCAGTGAACATACAACTTCCAGGTAACAAAGAACATCTATACAAGTGACCTTGCATACAGTGTATTTTGCCCTATATCAGGGTTTTAGTGTTGGGGTTGTAGAACCACCCATATTATCTTGGCTCCATCTAACCACAGCCAAAGGAGGACTGGCCTAGACCTCACTTACATCCGATTTTTAGCTGTTAGGAAGCGTAAAAGAAACAATAATCTTATAAAGCACCGCAAACAACTTTACAAACCACCACAAACTTAATAAACACAAATGCAAACATCTTGTGGTCTGAAGCATGTACTCACCCAGAAGAGAAGGTTGAAGACAAACATTAGGTACTTGATACACTGGAGACAGTTGTGAGCCATGCTGCACCTCTTCAGTTCTAGGAGAAAAATAAATGAGAGATCCAGGTAAAAGACAACGTACTTGTTTCCCTTGGGGGACGTGTACTTAGCCTTGGTGGCCTTAGGGCCTGGATTGGTGTGGAATCCAAAAAATGAGTTGCTGGCAGCTCCAAATTGGCCGCCATACATGCTGCTGTAGCGACGGAAGGCGCCATTTGGAAAACTGTAATCCTTGCTGTCCAAAGAAGGGCTCCTGTGATAGGTCGATTCATCGGTGCTAGACCTGCGCATGGTGACTTCCGAGCAGTCCGTGGTTAGCAGTGATGCAGTAGTTGCTGAGTGTTGGCGGTAGGGGTGATAGGCTTATTAATTATTTTCCTCTTTCCTTATCCCCCTATTGCTTTGCACCAGCTGTTCTTTGGCCTGCCATTCTGTCAAGGAGTTAAGCGTGCAAGTTGGTGAACTGGAGTCTGCTTAGCCAGGAGTAAGGGAACAGCGTGCTTCCGCGTGAGAGAGACTTCTGAACAAGAAAACATTCCCTCCGGTGTCACACTTTCCCCCCCCGGCCCACCCCACTACCAAAAACGAAAAAGAGAGAGAGAGAGAGAGACACTGTACCCAAAGCAACAAAATTTAGAAAAAAGTTGGATCTTGCATTTATCGCAAATGCCATATAAAACCTTGGCTCCACGTGCCACCCACTTGCACAGGGGACGCTGCACAGCTTTGTGGGCAAGAACAGAAATTATCCAAAAGGTGAACGGATCCCATGCCCCGTTGCTCTTAGCCACATTGCTCTGCCCTGAGATGCTCCGCTCACTTTAATGATCCCTGTTTCCTCTCACACAGACAGAGCCTATGGTAAGTGAGCCACGGAGCTTCATTCACAGTGCTGCTGACACTCCTTTGAGACTCCAGTCCAATCATGCTCTCTGCTAGTATACAGTCACAGCTCTGTGGTCCATCCCTGCATCTGAAGCGAGAGGCAGAGAGAATGAGCTTTCTTACTGTATCTCATGAATGCAGGCTCAGCACTCTCGCTGGCTCCTGCCCTCCCCCAGCCAATCAAAATTATCCTCAGACAATATTACTCTCTCACCCCCACCTTCTTTAAAATAAAACCTCCCCTTGGTTTCTTCTCAGCAAATCCAGCATGAGCTGCTTTTAACCAATCAGCGTGCAGGTGGAGGGACCACAGCATGTATTTTAGATTTCACCAGGTCCGTTCCCTTGGATAATTCTATTCTCCATCAGCCCAGTATACGCTGGAACATGGGGTGAGTTTTAATCATTCCAGCTGCTAGCAGCTCCCGAGATTTAGTTCTTAGCAAGGAGCAACTGAATTCAGATGTAGTCTGAAATGCAATCGGTCTTTAAAGGACTGAGTATGTCTATATGACAGACTGAAATATTCACACTCATACAGGGGGTGTTGATCACATAGGACAATCAGAATTTGGACCAAAAAAATCATGTATCCTTTGCACATGTGTTTTGTAGGAAATTCTATTAAAAAAGCTAGCTTAACCTGTCTACTAGGTCTATCATGGAGGGGGGCACTCTCCTGTTATATTGTTACACTACTCAGTGTAAAGTTCTGCCAGTTCCTTTGCTTCTCTGCCAATATACCTATCTCTGTCTTTGTCCTGTAGCCTGCTAGGTTGACACGTGGGGGTATCACATTCTCAAACTGGCTGCTACCACACTGACATTTCAACCACCTTTTCACCAAGCAGTCTACAATCTCTCATACAGTCAAACAGGGGTGGCCAGCCTGTGTCAGGGATGCCGAAATGGTATGGGCAGCCTCTGTGTGTGGCACTTGTCAAACCAGGGAGGAAGCAAACAGTGCAGTGTCAGACAGGGCAGGGAACAGAAAACAGAGCAGCAGATTGGTCAGGGAGCAGAAAGAAGAACAGATGATCTGGCAGAAGGAGGGGATCAGTCATACTCAGAGAAAATATGGGGTTAATTTGTGACATGCCTGCCACAAAATATCTAGTTGGGGCTGGTCCTGCTTTGAGCAGGGGGTTGGACTACATGACCTCCTAAGGTCCCTTCCAACCCTCATTTTCTATGATCTTTTTTTAGCCCCCATTGCAGTAGAACTTCTTCAGAAAGGGAGGCTGGGACTATGGTTACATGCATGGGCTGAGCCCCAGAAGAGCTAGGCTCAATTCCCATCTCTGCTATATGCTTCTTATATGACCTTGAACAACTCTTAAGCCTTCCCCCTGTGCCTCACACCCCCATTTGTAAAATGGGAACATTACTATCTCCTTTCTCCCCTCCTTTAAATGTCATGTTAATTTGGATTGTAGGGTTGGGAGGCAGCAACTGTCACTGACTGTTTCCCTGGAGCAGGGCAAAGAGGTAGCTACTAGCTAGCTGGTGTTTTTAAATGGCTTGCTCAGGTAAAGAAATAATCAAGTTGAAAGCAGGGCTCTCATAAGAGTCATCACCACGGCACCAACACAAATCAACACAGACACAGACATCAATTAATTAGAGAGCAAATTAGAGAAAGTGAGATGCGGTGGTTTCACATGGTTCATTCTCACAAACCATCCCCTCACTCACTTCATTTATAAACTGCTATGCTAGAGTCTAATGGTTCTCATTCATCTTCTTTCCAGTATAAGAATTCACCAGACACAGGCTGTTAGCATTTTTTTTTTTATGGAAAAATTTTTGTGTCCGAAGTCAAATCAGCCAAATCAATTCCAAATCTGTGTGCATCATTCAAGAACCATATGAGACCCTGCTACCAGCAAGTATCCTCCACCCCTGCCTGAGGCTTCAGATACTTCCAGATCCTTTGGCAGGTGTTCTATGTGCAAGCCCAAACCTGGAGGCTTGGGGTTCAGATGCCCTGAGTTTTACATGCCCTCAGTCTTATGGCTGCAGGAGCAAGCTAGGGAGGAGTCTCCTTTTTTTTTTTTAAAGGAAAATTTTTCATCTTCCAAGCCAAATCAATTCCAAATCCGTGAATCATTCAAGAACCATATGTGGCCCTACTGCCAGCAGACATCCTCAACCGCTTCCTGGGGCTTCAGATGCTTCTAAATCCTTTGGCAAGTATCCTATGTGCGGGGCCAATCCTGGAGACTTGGGGTTCAGATGCCCCTGAATTATAACTTGCCCTCAGCCATATGGCCACAGAAGGAGTCTTCCATTTCCATAACATGGGCGTAAAGCCAAGATCTTCCCACTAGAAGAGAAAGTGGGAGGTCAACTATACATTACCTCAGTCAAGGTCCTACCCTGCCAAGAAAGTGGTTTTCCCCTGCAAGTAAGACAACTGCCTTAATGGTCATGATGTTCCCCCTGGTCATGATGAAATATCTTCCCTACAGTGGGTTAGTGCAGCCTGTCTCCCCCCCACATTTTTTTTTTTTTTTTTTTTTTTT